TTTTTTTTTTTTTTTTTTTTTTTTTTGTTGTTGTTTGTTTTATTTTGAGACAGGGCCTTGCTAAGTTGCTGAGACTGGCTTTGAACTTGCAATCTTCCTGCCTCAGCCTCCTGAGCCTGTGGGATTACAGGCTTGCACCACCGTATACAACCTCCTTTCTGCTATTTCATGTGCTGAATATATAACATAATATTCCTTTCCGATGGTAGAAACTCCTTTTCCTATTTCACAGATTTGTGATGGGGCAAACACAGAAGTACGTCTTCACCGGTGGGACAGATAGGAGTCCTAGGCTTGGCTAATTCCAATATCCTTTTCCCCTGATTTGTCTAAGGGAGAGCATCAGATCCAAACAGGACCAATCATATGCTTCCCGCAGGGCTGGTGTTGAGGCAACATTCTTGGGGATGAAAGGCTCCTTCAATGTAGTGAGCTTTGAACTGAAATCTGAAAAACAAGAAGCTTGTTGTACAAGGTTACAGAGAAAGAGCAGAGGAAGTGAGAAACATAAGAGGCAAGAAGGGGCCAAGCTTGTTCAAGGTAGATATATATGAAGACCAAAGTAGATATATATGAAGGCCAATTCTCGCTGCTTAACAGCTCTCTCCCCTCCTTTTTTTTTTTTTCTTTTTGAGCAGGGTAAAGGGGATTGAACTCAGGGGCACTTGACCACAGAGGCACATCCTCAGCCCTTTTTTTGTATTTTGGTTAGAGACAGGGTCTCACTGAGTTGCTTAGCAAAGCAACTGCTGAGGCTGGCTTTGAACTCGCGATCCTACTGTCTCAGCTTCCCGAGCTGCTGGGATTACAGGCGTGCGCCACCGCGCCTGGCTCCCCTTCTAGTAAAACCTAGGTAACTCACTCAGCTTCCAGATTTATGTCCAAACGTCCCTCCCTCAAGCCCTCCCAAACCTCAGAGGTCTCCCCTACGCTCCCAGCTGGAAATCGGCCCATTGCTAGGACCTAGCGGACTGTGTTTACCAGACCCCCGGAACCCGGGATAGGGAGTGATGAGAGAGGCCTGTGGGTTGGAGGAGCTAAACTGGCCGCGCAAACCGTCCTAACAAGGAGGTGAAGCGGATTCCCAACTCTACCAGCTCACAGAAGCACTTTGGGGAGCGACACCAGGGCGCAGAGCGGCCGCTCACCAGGCGGAAGTTGATCCCTGGAGCCGTTCTAGGAAACCCGGAGGACCCAGCTCGTCAGTGATCGTGGGACTGAAAGTGGGCATCGCCTTTGCCTGGTGCACAGGGACGTTCCAAGGAGACAACTCAGGAGGCGGCTGCGGAGTGGGGCTTGGGTTAGGGTGAGGACCCGCCGAAGGCAAAGCTGGAAAAGGCACGGAGGCGTTGGCGTGCTGACCACCTGTTCCTCCGGCGAGTGCTCAGCGCTGCGATAGGCTGGAGTGTCGCCCGGGTACCGGAAGTGGCCGATGCCCGTCGCCAGTGACACCAAGACAACAACTGCAGGTTCTGCGCTAGCTGCCGAGCGGCACCGGGAGCCGGAGCGGAGTGAACGTGGGGCGGTAGCGGCCAGCGGTGAGATCTCATTCCGTCACGGCTGGGAGGAGGACCACGCTGGGCTCCCTCCCCACTCCCCAGCCCGCGAGCCGAGCGGGAGCCCGGGGTTTAGGCCCGTTCCTGACTCGGGTTTGCTGTGACCTTGGACTTAATGGCTCTCCCGGGGCCTCCATTTCCCCACTTGCACACCGAGAGGGTGGGGCCTGGGCACTGACTGGAATTGTCCCAGTTCTGGTTCGATGCCTGTCAAACCGCGGGAACGGGAGAAGCCGGGTCAGAGGTGGGGACCCGTGRGAACTGTGCTTTTCCCAGACATTCCTTCGCCAAGTAAACCGCTGGGATGAAATGGCGGGCAAAAATTAAGGCCCCTTTGGTAGACGGTGCCCTGTGCTGGCTGACAGGGTATTGGTTAGTTATGTAAAGGAGATGGCATTGAGCACAGAGTTAATCGAGCCCTCTTGATTGTCAATACCAGAGGGAGTCCAGAGAGCTAGGACAACAGTGCCTTATGTTAAATATCCAGACTGGGAGAAGGAACTTATTTTTACAAATGGTTATTGAGACCAGCTATGTGTCAGACACTGTCCTAGGCTCTTTAAGCATGAAGAGAATGAAATCTCCAGTTAGCCCCCAAGAATGTCAAAAGATGCACTGTGTAGATAAAACACTTAAACAAATTAATTTACCAGGTATCTGAAATGTGCTAAGCATTGGGAATACCCACGAATAGAATGTTATCCTTGCTCATGGTCTAGAAAACAGACATGAAAGTAATAATACAGTGGGGGTAACTGCTACAAGATGAAGGAGTATCTGTTTGTTTTAAAATCTGGGGTCAGGAAGACAATGGAAGGAACTGTGTGTGCTTCAGCTGAATCTCGAAGATGTTTGTTAAGTGAACAAGGTGGGCAATAGTATTACAGGAAATGGGAATAATTTGTTCTCAAAGGCAAAGAAACTTTAAAGATTGGGGAAATGTTAGAACTGCAAGTCACTGAGCATAGCTGCAGCTTCCAGCTGTTTTCAGAGAATGAGGAATAGGAGAGGGGGAAGGGAAACAGGCCTGATCACAGGGGCATTATGAGCTATTAGAAGAAATTTTTATTCTGGAGGCCTTGGGAGGAATAAACAGGAGGTGACATGGAAATTATAGTGAACAAAGAGTTAAGAAAAGGGCCAGTGAAATGCTGGTTCAGAGGACCAAGAGAGAGCCTCCTTCCTGCAGATGCTAGTGAAGATTGGGGAGGAGATAGTCCTTGTACTAGATATTGAGTATTGGTGAACTTGCCTTTCTGAAGTTAAAGGAAAACATTTGTATCAGTTAAGGTTATTATTTTGTTTGTAAGTAACAACATACAACTCAAGCTGATTTAAAAATATGCAAGTATAGCCAGGCATGGTGGCACCCACCTGTAATCCCAGCAGCTCAGGAGGCTGAGGCAGGAGGATTGAAAGTTCAAAGCCAGCCTCAGCAATTTATTGAGGCCCTAAGCAATTTAAGAGACCCTGTCTCAAAATAAAAAGGGCGGATGTGTGGCTCAGTGGTCAAGTGTCCTTGGGTCCCATCTCTAGTACCAAAAAATAAAAATATGCAAGTATATAAACTCTTATGAACTGGAGGTCAAGAAATATGGCAGTTTCAGGCCCAACTTAACCCAGTGGCCTTCCTCTTAGTTCAACATGCCTTCATCTGTAAGCTGATAGTGTGATGGCAACAACGGGTCCAGGCCACAATATATAGCAGTCTCTTCCTGTGGTTCTGTCAGGATGGCAGAAACAATTTCCAGAAGCTCCCAGCAAACTTCCTCAAAATATCATTGATCCAGATGAAGGCATATGTCTATTCCTGAACCAGGAATTCCTGAATCCTGCTGTTTTGGAACCAATTATTTCAAGGTGGTTGGTACCTATCTGGGTAAATTCATTTGGGGTGCACTCCTGGAGGTCTTGGGTGAGGTAAAATCTCCTGAAAAGAGAATAAGGCCACTGGAAACTTTCTTGCTCTATTATCCCACAAAGTAATTTTGATAAGATTGTATCCTCTTATACATTTGTATGTTGATATCCAAAATGTTTCCATTTATTATCATAAATTTTAATCATTGCAAAGGATATTATTTTTGGTGGATTATACATTTTGATATTTAAAAATAAAACCTTATGTCAGCTTCCAAGATAACATTCCCTTGTTTTCATGTGCTTCTAACAATATTCATTTTTTCTGTAACCGTTTAGCATTCCACTCCTCTCTCTACCACACCCATTCCCTTCATTTGCCTTCCTGTCTCACATAGTTATCTCAACTATGTCCTGGCTAACATTCCCAAGTTCCTCACTCTCTCAGTCTTCCACTACACATATCTTCCCAGATTCCTAGTATGTTCCCAAGATGCCAAAAGTTCTGCTGGGAAAATTCAAGAGAGCAAGCCAATTGGCTCCTCTTATACTGATGCTCCAGGAGATTGTGAGGGTTAAACAAAATGATGTCTGTAAGTTGCTCAGCACACAGCACATAGTAAGTATTCTTCACTCTCCACATCAAATTGTCAGTGCATTCTTGCTTATCTCTTTTTACCTTGCACATGCTATATTGAAGTAAAAAATGTTCTTTCTTATTCTGCCCATTCTTCCTGATCTCTGAAGCTTTGCTTGCCCATTTTCTTCTCAGAATGCTACAGTTGCAATACATTTCAAACTGAGGTACACAAACACTTTTTATAATATCTATGGGCCTGTGGATTGTGATTGGAAACCAATTTCTAGATTGTTGACTTCAGTTTGTATCCTCGCCTAAAACCAACCTTCTTGAGAACTACTGGCCTATGGCCTGCAGACTTCTCTTTCTCAACTCGTCTTTTACAATTGCTCTTTTCATCTTTTATAAAAGGAAGACACACCTCTCACCCATCTCCTCTTAAAAATCTCTGGTGTGCCATACAAAGGTATAATTTGTTGAGAGATGATTCTTAGACCTTTTATAGGGCGAGCTCCAATCCTTGCTTTCAACAAAAATTTAAAAAGACCTACTCAGGTTCTCAGTTGATAAATTACTTAATAATGTTTTACTACAAATCACAGTGTGGTTTTTGATACATAAGTTCAAAGAATTAACTGATATTGCTATCAAAGAGATTGTTGTAAACTGATTTAGGCAATTTGGGCAATATCAGGTCTGGGCACAATAACTAGGGTAAAGATGATAAACAATAGAAATGTGGTTTTTCAAATTTCTTTCTTTCTTTCTTTCCTAGAAATGTACTTTTAACTCAGAAAAGACTATTTAGAGCTGGGCATGGTAGTGCACGCTTGTAATCCCAGCAACCTGGGAGGCTGAGGCAGGAGGATCACAAGTTCAAGGTCAGTCTTAGCAACTTAGGGAGGCCCTCAGCGATTTATTGAGACCCTGTCTTAAAAAAAAAATAAAAAAGGGCTGAGGATATGGCTTAGTGGTTAAGCAGCCCTGGGTTCAATCCCTGACACACACATACACAAAGAGAGAGAAGAGTATCTAGTCAATTGTATTTTATCTGTCCTGTCTGTTCTCAGGAATTTAAGGTAGGGGAAGGACAATCAAGAGGAAGGCAGGACCTCAGCAACTTAGTGAGACCCTGTCTCAAAATAAAAAGTAAATGGTAAAGTGACACTGGGTTAATTTCCCAGTACAAAACATAAACAAATAAAATGAAATAAAGAGGAAGGTAGGGAGCTGGCAGTAATGATTATAATCGTGATACTTCCCATAGACCAAACATTGGGTAGAGATAAATGAACCTTATTAAGAGTGGGACAACTTTAGTCATTAAGACTAGAACTAGCTGGGGATCAGAATCCCCTGGGCATAATTGTTAAAAGTACTTTGGTTTCCCTAGAGATTCTTATTGAGAGATCAAGGGGAAGGATCTGGAAGTCAGTATTTTTAACAAGTTTTCCAGTTGATTCTTTCATAGCTAGTCTATTTTCAAGCCAAGAAGAAGCTTTATTTAAGAAGCATTTATCTAACCAGATCTTCCTACCATGATTGCAGGCCTACTAAACAATTTCCAGTGTGTGTGTGTGTGTGTGTGTGTGTGTGTGTGTATCTCCTCATACAGATTTTCATCTAGGCAGAAAGGAGCTTTTGAACTTTTATTTCTCACTGTTAGGCATCTGGTGCATGTATCAGTATTTTGTGCATGAAGTTTTCTGAGACTGTTGTCCTAGGGTTCAGGAAAAAACAAATTTAGATCTGCAGAGTTAAGGACCCTCTTCTAAACTCTGGTAACACAGTGAAGGTCTGCCTGTCATCCCTCAAATTGAGGACCAAGGGTAATCAACCTCCATTCCTCAGGTGGTATCTGAATCTTCAGAAGCAGTAATTTCAGATTTAGAAAAGTAATCAGTAACAGAAAAACTGGAAATTCTATTTGGGAATATGAATTTACCTATGAGAAATGGAGTATTTCCATATGAAGATGAGGTCTTTGCTTCTGGGAAAATCAATAAAAAAAAGACTAGCTTTGATTTGTATATGATACCTACAAAACATTAACAAATGACACTAGTATTGTGTTGCTGTCAGAATTCAAAGTAAAAGAATGGTCAGATGCTCAGATTTAGTTGTGTAAGACTTTAGAATTTGAATTTTGAATTTGGTTTTGAAGTTGGGGTAGATATGTATCTAACTTCTATTATATCTAGTTTTACTACAAATAAGTGATTTTCTATATGGTATGGTGCAGATATAGGTTCTACAAATGCTGACTTTGTAAAGAACTTTGTAAAGATGAGAGCTGGGCATGGTGGCACACACCTGTAAYCCTAGTGGCTCTGGAGGTCGAAGCAGGAGGATTGCAAGTTCAAAGATAGCCTCCACAACTTAGTGAGAGCCTGTCTCAAAATACAAAATAAAAAGGACTGGGGATGTGATTCAGTGATTTAGCTCCCCTTGGTTCAATCCCTCTTGGATGGGGACTAGAATATGGAAAATAAGCCATCATAGGAGATATAAAGGTAAGAAGGAAAGGCCAGAGAGGTGTTGGAAGTAGATAGGGACTGAAATACTAGCTTGTGGAATTTGTTCTTAGTGGCTGTTAGAAATTTATTTAAGACAATAATTCCCAACTCAGATGTTACCATGGATGAATAAGATAGCTGAATTGTCTATAATGGATCTTTATAATTTTACAGATGCATATTTATWATTTTTAAAGATTTCAACAAAAAGGATTCCTAATCTTGGTGTCATTGCCATCTGTTTAATTACTATCCCTCAAATTAAGGGAGGTCTGGGTTCAATCTTATATTCTTTTCTTTTTCTTACACTTGTATCTAATTAAACACCAAATCTTCCAGAATTTGACCTCTTAAATATTTCTTCAGTCTTTTCTATGACTATTGCCCTAGGTAGATCTCATCTCCTCTTGTCTTAATGACTGCAACAGCCTTCAAACTGATTTGCCTATGCCAAGACCTAGAAGCATCACCATCCTTTCTACTTCAGCTACTAAATGACCACTAGTGCACATCTACTTGATAAGCTCATTTGACCAGAGACACTTCTTAGAAAAAAAAATTCCATGACTTTGCACTGTCTAAAGTATGAAGTTCTATACCTGCCTTTCTTCCCATAAATATCACCTTCCACAATTAACACTTTTATTGATGGGAAGATTGTACTCCCCAAATTTGCCATGATGCCCAAATACACTGCCCTAAGCAAAGGGCCACTTCAGTATTAGCTCCAGTTTGCTTATCATCTGAGCAAAGTTCAGGCTCATTTATCTATTATTTGCACTCCACTGCTGTGATGGGGACAGCTAAATTCCCAGGATATTTTTATTAGAAATAAGTTTGACTTCGTAAAATAATGTTTTCTATCTGGGTGTGGTGGCACACACCTGTAATCCTAGTGACTTAGTAGTCTGAGACAGAAAGATTGCATATTTGAGGTCAGCCTCAGCAACTTAATGAGAACCTGTCTAAAAATAAAAAATAAAAAGGACTGGGGATATACAGCTCAGTAGTAAAGTGCCTCTGGGTTCAATCCCCAGTATGAAAAAAAAATAATAATAATAATAATAGTGTTAAAGATTAAAAAATGGCTTAAGCAAGGCAAAAGTTAGTCATTTAGATAAAAAAAGTTCACAGGCAAGCATTCCAGGATTAATATGGCAGCTGTGAGAGTCATCAGAGATCCAGGTCCCTTCCAGTTCTGATCCCCAATCCTATGTATATTGGTGTACTCATGGTCTAACCTGGCACTCCATCACTCCTCAGGAACAGCAATGGAAGAAGACAGTGAAGAAATGCATCCAATCAACCTTAAGAAGATTTCCCAGTAGCCTCGTGTGCTTTAATTTGCATCTCACTATCATTGGCCAGAATTTGTCATGTGGTCAGAGTCAGCCGCAATAAAAGCTGGGAAATGTATTTTTAAAACTATGCTCATTACCTCTGTAAGTAAATTCATTATTCTGTTATGAGGAGATGGAGAAGAATACATATTGGGATAGGCAATTAAATATTTTTGCCATAGATTTTTGGAAATTTAAAAAAATCTACTCTTTAATTAATCTATAAAAATATTAAGAAAATTCTGTAAAAGGGCTGATTTTATGATTATTCATTTTGTGGTTACTTAATTTGTAAAGATCAATATCTTTGCCATATGTAAAAATAATAACTAATTTCAGAATATAAAAAAAACTCACTAAATGAAAAGACAGAATGGATATAAAACATTCAGGATAAGTTTGGAATTTCTTTTCTTTCTTTTCTTTTCTTTTTTCTTTTTTTTTTGTACTGGGGATTGAACTATGTCCCCTGTCCTTTTTTATTTTTTAATTTGAGATAGGGTCTCATTAAATTGCTTAGGGCCTTGCTAAGTTTCTGAGGCTGGTCTCAAACTTGCCATCCTCTGATCTTAGCCTCCCAAGTCACTGGATTATAGGCTTGTGCCACCTGTACCCAAATTTGGAAATTTTACAAAAGTATACTAAAATTTACTTGAAAAAGTATGAGACTAGATAAGAAATATCTGAAAAAGAAGGCTAATGAGAGAGAACTTTCTCTAACATATATAAAATTTTTTAAAATAAAGCTTAATAATTTAAACAGTTTGGTATTGGAGAAGAAATAATTTAGTAAAACTGAACAGAATATAGACATTGATCCAGAGCTGGGCACAGTGGTACACACTTGTAATCCCACCAACCTGGGAGGCGGAGGCAGGAGAATTGCTAATTCTAGGCCAGCCATGGCAATTTAGCAAGACCCTGTCTCACAATAAAAAATTAAAAGGGCTGGGGATGGAGCTCAGTGGTAAAGTGCCCCCTGGATTCAATCCTCAGTACCATAAAAAAAGCCCCAAATATATATACACACTTATACTATGGTACAAGTGTCATTTTATTTTTTTTTTTATTTATTTATTTTTTTTTTAATACCTTTATTTTTTTATTTTTATGTGGTGCTGAGGATTGAACCTAGGGCCCTGTACATGCTAGGCAAGCACTCTACCACTGAGCCACAACCCCAGCCCAACAAGTGTCATTTTAAATCAGTAGGAAAAATAATTATTTAGTAAATGGTATTGATATGATTCACTAGCCATCTGGAGAAAATTTAAGCTAGAACCTTACTTCATCCAAATGTAGGGAACTAGGGGTAGTTAGTTACTTATGTGCTAGTTATAGCTAAGTTACATTAACCTTTTGAATAAGTAACCCCAATATACACTATACCCTGCTCCACATAGCTGGTGATAAACACAGAACTGGACTAAGACCAGGTCATCTGACTGCTCATTTTGTGGTTACTTCATCTATAAATCCCAAAGTTATTTCTGTTGACATGGTATCCTTGTCCCTTTTCTTAAAATTTTCCATATACCCCATCTATGAATATGGCTATCATTTTTCCTAAATGTTTTCATTATCAACCTCATGTTCTATTCCAGTTCACTGTTAATGTTATAGAATATTTATCAGTATCTTTTTACCATCCATTTCTGATTTCTGTTTTTAAATCTTTGCCTCTGATAAGTTTTCTCTTCAGTCAGCATCTGCTTCTGAGCATGTCTATTATAATTCTAAATCTCTGTTTTCACCAACAGYATCCTGTCATTTCACCAAATGCCAAGACTGTTTTTGAGTGCTGTCAGCACTACATCAAAGCTCTGTCCCCCTGTGCTCATTAGCTTCATTTAAATATGAAACAGCTACTTCATATATTTATTTTCTTTCATTTCAGATTGTGAGATGGGGACTGAAAACAAAGCGGTGATTAAGGAAGAAATTTTTGAAGAATCTGAGCTGCATGGGCCAACGTCAGAAAAACTTCCAAAAGTGGTTTACCAAGTTCGTGGGTTTGGAGCAGCTTGTGAAGAAGACATATTAGAGGGACATTCGAGAGAGTCCTCAGAAGACATTACACAACAGATGTCTCCCCAGGAGAGAGATTTTGCACCAGGGTTGATAATCTTTAAGAAATCACCCTCAAGTGAGAAAGACCAACAGGATAGTGAAAGTGAGAGAGGCTGCAGTCCTACTCCTAATCTGGTGACACATCAGGGAGATGCTACAGCAGGGAGTGTCAGTACATTTGCTACCTCTGGCCAGAATTTTATAGAGAATTTAGAACCTAACAGAATTCGGAGGACATCTATGGGGGAAAAGCCTCATTCATGTAAAGAATGTGGGAAAGCCTTTAATCAGAACTCACATCTCATCCAGCATATGAGAGTTCATAGTGGAGAAAAACCCTTTGAATGCAAAGAATGTGGAAAGACATTTGGAACTAACTCAAGCCTTCGAAGACACCTGAGGATTCATGCTGGAGAGAAACCCTTTGCTTGTAATGAATGTGGAAAGGCCTTCATCCAGAGTTCACATCTTATCCACCATCATAGGATTCACACCGGAGAGAGACCCTATAAATGTGAAGAATGTGGTAAAGCCTTCAGTCAGAATTCAGCCCTTATTCTACATCAGAGAATCCACACTGGAGAGAAACCTTATGAATGTAATGAGTGTGGGAAGACCTTTAGGGTTAGCTCACAGCTTATTCAGCATCAGAGAATTCATACTGAAGAAAGATACCATGAGTGCAACGAGTGTGGCAAAGCCTTCAAGCATAGCTCAGGCCTTATTAGACACCAGAAAATTCATACTGGAGAAAAACCCTATCTGTGTAATGAATGTGGGAAGGGCTTTGGTCAGAGTTCTGAACTTATTCGGCATCAAAGAATTCACACAGGAGACAAACCCTACGAATGTAACGAATGTGGGAAAACCTTTGGCCAGAACTCAGAGATTATTAGACACATTAGAATTCATACTGGTGAGAAGCCCTATGTATGTAAAGAATGTGGGAAGGCCTTTAGGGGGAATTCAGAACTTCTTAGACATGAGAGAATTCACACTGGAGAGAAACCCTATGAGTGTTTCGAGTGTGGGAAGGCCTTCAGGCGGACATCTCACCTTATTGTCCACCAGAGGATCCATACTGGAGAAAAACCCCATCAATGTAATGAGTGTGCAAGAACCTTTTGGGATAACTCTGAGCTGCTTCTCCACCAAAAAATTCATATTGGAGAAAAGCCTTATGAGTGTAGTGAGTGTGAGAAAACATTCAGCCAGCACTCCCAACTTACCATACATCAGAGAATTCACACTGGAGAGAAGCCTTATGAGTGTCAAGAGTGTCAGAAGACCTTCAGTCGGAGCTCTCACCTCCTCCGACATCAAAGCATTCATTGTATGGAATGACCTGCAAAATAGAAAAACTTTTTTGGGAAAGGCTAACGTCAGACTTATTTGTCATAATATTCACACATCCCAAATTCTCAGATGAAATGAAAAGAAAGAACCTCTCTTAATTTCAATAGTTGGTTGAAAAAGGATGAGGCACTTTTATGAACTATTCATTGAGAAGTTTTATGTACTGGGTTAAATCATAAAAGCTGTCTCAGGCCTTAATTCTCATTTGTCCCTTTTCCCTTCCCTTCTTTCCTTCTCCCCCAGTGGGTTATATAACATTAGGGGTCTGTATCTGCCATCTGCCCTACATGGTTGCTTTTCTAAAAAATGGGGGAACAGGATTCACCACCTCCTAAAAATTACAGAGTTGACTCATTGAATTTACGCCATGAAAAACATGTTAGAAAGTYATGACCTAGATGACACATCTCATTCTTGTGTCCACTGTTTAGCCTTGGAATAATTTAGCATGCTTCTATTAATAGCCTCAAAATCTYCCAGCTATGCTATCAAGTTCCCTTAGAAGATGGCAGCATTAATGAAAAAGCAGGAAGCTTGGGTCATTTCACATTTCCTGCTAGGTTTCCTCATTCATCTGAAGAGGGTATCATTGAAGGAGGAAACTGACAGTCCATTTACAGAATTGTAAGTGAAGGCCATAGGATCCAAAGGGACTGATTAGGCAAGGCCACAGGATAAACAGTTGAGGCCAGAATACTCAGCATGGGCAAAGGGTCTCCTTGGCAGCTATCCCCACTTCAGGGCTGCTCAGACTGACTGCTACAAGAATTCTGCTGCGTTTGCTTTTGGTCCCAGCTTCTGCTGCTGCTGCTGCTAAATAAGGAAGTATCAAAGAGAACTGTGTGGTTTCACATCTACTAGTCATCTGGCCACAGTAACGAGCTGGTTCACCTGACTAACCAGGCCTGGCTTTGCCAAAGCACGTTAACACTCATAACCTGGATCCCACTGCTGCTGGTTCTGATGGGCTGAAATATGATAGCTTCTTCTTGGTCTGATGGTCTTGAAATTTTCTGTTTTCAACATCTTTACATGTTTTTTGTATTCTATATGTCATTTCTTCTTTAAGAAGACACATCCTTCATTTTTCATGTCTTTTTCTATTTTTGGTACTGGGGATTGAATCCAGGGGCACTCAACCACTGAGCCATAACCCCAGCCTTTTTTGGTATTCTATTTAGGGATAGGTTCTCATTGAGTTGTTTAGGGYTGGCTCTGAACCTGCGATCCTCCTGCCTCAGCCTCCTGAGCCTCTGGGATTATAGGCATGCACCACTGCGCCCAACTCACGTCCAAYTTTGAGGCAATGGGTGATAGTAGGAATTGCACTAATGGGGCATGGAGTCTGGTCTGAGAGTTAGACCTTGAATAAGGCACTTCACTTGCTGCTCTCTAATTTTATCTGTAAAATGAGGGGAGTTGAACTAAATGCTAAATGATCTCTGACACTTCTACCAACCCAATAATTTTTTGATTTTTTAAAAAAAATCTAACTTTATAATCTTCATTGTTCTATTCTTCAATCACTATTAACACTAATACTAATCACCAATATTTATTGAGTATTTACTATGTGCCAGGCACACGCCTGACAGTACATTTTTATTTTCACAACATCTCTATGATGTGGATAACCTTTTTTTTTTCCCTCTTATGGTTTTGGGGATTGAACCCTAACCCTCATGTATACCAAGTAAGCAGCACTTTACCACTGAGTCACATCCCCAACCCTGATGTGGGTATTCTTTTAAAAAGAACACTTTATTGAAATATTATTTATATATATATACAATCACCTYTTATAATTTATTCAGTTGAATGATTTTTAATAATTTATAGAGCTGCCCAATCATCAATAATGTGGGTATTCTTGCCACAATTTATGAGAAGAGATAGCCAGGCAAGATGATGTATGCCTGTAGGCACACTTACAATTCCAGCTACTCTAGAGTTTGAAGCTGGAGGATTGTTAGTACAAAGTCATCCTGGGCAACTTAGGAAGGCACTTTCTCAAAATGTTAAARAAAAAAAATAGTGAATGTAGCTTAGTGGTAGAGCTCTTACCTAGCATATGGCCTTAGGTTACTCTCCAGCACTGAGAGAAAAAAAAAAAAGGGGGGGGGGCAGAGAGGAGATGTTAAGTAATTTACCTGTGCTCACACATCTAGTAAGTGCTAGTGTCAAGATTCTATCTCTGGTCTGATCTGTTCTCTTAATCACTGTGCTGTATTGCATATWCTTATTTGAAACCATTTGCACATTTTTATTACTAATTACTACATAGATTTGAATATAATGAATTTGAATCATGTCCTTGGAAACAAGCTGGTCACAACCAAAATCCATTGGTGAGGACTGGCAGTGTAGCTCAGTGGTAGATCACTTGCTTAGCATTTGTGAAACCCTGGGTTAGATCCCGGCCCCACAGAAATAAACAAAACCTCCCCAAATCCACAAAGTGGGTTTATTCTGTACACCTATAGTGTCTCTCCAGGTTCACAGCCTTGGTTTGATAAAAGGGTTATACAAATAAACAGATGATTGCACAGTTCCCACATCGTTCCAGGTATCTCTGTTTCTAAATACCTAATTCTTAGCAGAAGTGTTTGTTTTGTAGTGCTGGGCACTTTCTAGGCAAATACTCTACCACTAAGCCACCATCCTGCTCAAGGTGAAATTCTTTGACTTAGCTCTTCCCTTAGATGATGATGGCTCCTTTGTTACTCAAGCTCAAATTGAGTTGTGTTGAGAACATCTTTCTCACACAAAACCTGGATGTCACCTAACTTCTGATTTTTGTGCTTGCATAATTTATTGCCACATTCATCTCTTGGCAAGTTCTGATACAGAACTTAGCACTCTTCAAGGTCTCCCCCTAAAGATTCTACCCATACCAACAAACACATGAGTAATAAGGATTCCATTGATGATGCTGTGTGAAAGGTGGAGAAAAGTTCACATTGTACATCCTTTCAGACACTTTTTTTCCACATTTTAAAAATTGGTGCATTATAGTTGTATATATTGATGGGATTTGTTGTTACATGTTCATCCCATCACACATTTTGTTCTCAGCAGTTCCTTCTTGGCTAAACGTAAAGTTTTTTTTTTTTCCTTTTTTCTTCTTTTTCTCTTTTCTGTCTTCCCTCTCAGGGAATCAGCCACCTCAGTTTCTTTCTTCTTGCCAGATACCCAGTCCATATACCCACACCCTCTGTACTTAGCTCAGTTACCTTAAACCCATCACTAAGGAAGGAAGAGAAGGCCCTTCAGTTAGCAATTCACTCATGTGAACGTAGTGACCAACTTTTTAAAARATTTCTTTTTGTAGTTTTAGATGGGCAGCATGGCTTTATTTTATTTATTCATTTTTATACAGTGCTGAGGATCAAACCCAGTGCCTCACATGTCCTAGGCAAGCACTCTGCCACTGAGCTACAGTCCCAGCCCCAGTGACCAACTTTTGTTGTAACTGAGTGATTTCTTAAGATGGGGGAGGTCTCATGTCATCCTCAGGAGAATGTTCCAATTTGTTGTATAGTGCTTTCCCAAGAGGAATTCTGGTKAGTGAAGTCATCTCCATCTTGTTGTGTACACCATGCACACATCCTGTAACTYCATTTTCTGTCCTCTTCATCTGTCCCCCAGTCATCTCAGGAAGATTTCTCAATTTTTCTTGTTTGCCTTCCTCCTCCTTCAACTTACTTGGGAGTTAATATCTGACCATAAATGTGACTGGTTGTCATGATTCTGTGCAAGTACAATATGTAAAGGAAAAATCATGAATTAATTTTAGACCCATTAAAAAAAAAAAAGAAAACAGACTTCATATCTCAAAGTCCTACCTAAATACCCAGAAATATCCTCCAGAATTTTAGAAGCTATGTCTGTGTACATTTTCTTCCTTCCAGAACTCACTTTAGGTAAATAAAGTATGTCTATAATTTTCCTGTATGATGTCTAATGTTTATCATTACAAACTGCATTATATTTCATTATAGCCTTAATATGACTTTGTGTCAGTTTCATCCCCATCCTGTAAGTTTCACCTCTACTCAAGTACCCCAAGTTGCTGTGATGTTATTTTAGCTTCTGATTTTGCATACATTGTTCACTCTGTCCTTGACCTGTTGCTTTGTTTGATGAGTTCCTTTATCTTTTATGCTAGGACAAGAGTTACCTACTGTGTGTGTGTGTGTTTCTTCATCATTAACAATGTAAGATATTCTGGGTCATCTGGATGGTCCAGGTTTTTTTATACCTATTACTGAGATTTCAGGATTGCCTTTGCTAGTTGTCTACAATTCAATTGTATAAGTGTTCTAGTGACTTCTGGTCCAAGGCAAGTTACTAAGGCTGTTAAATCAAGAATCTTTTGAGAATCAGAAAAGCTCTCCCCAGAAAAATGTACATGCAAATTGAAATTTGTGAACCTTCTGTAACCCATTCTTGGGACTCCTATGGTCCTTTATGCATTCCTAAAAGTGAATTCTTGAATTAAAAAATTACCAAGTAACTTCCACAATAACTTCTGCTTGTCTCTTAGCTTTTGGAAAGAAATTGTCAAGATGAAGCCCTGGAAATGGGCGGCAGCCGGAGCCTCAGTAAAAGCCCAGTGAGAAGGGTGGGGACGATTCTCATCATAGCCTGAATAAGGGAGCCTCAGGAAGACGAGTCAGTATGCAATCATCCACCAATTGCTATAACGTGACAGCAAGGTGCAGGTGCCCTAGGAGCCAAGAGACTTGTGGGAACTTGAATAATCTGGTGGTGGTCAGCACTGTGAAGCACTGAGTTTGGACTGCAATTTCTCTCAGGTATTCTCTCAACAGTAGTTTCCTGTCAGGACATAGACCCAATGTTATGGTAAGTCCCTGTTAACTTTTCCCCCTACCTCCCAGCCCCTCACTCAGGGAAAGGACTGTTCCTTTTTCATTGTAAGTTCCAAATCACAGCATTTGAATTAGAATGAACATATAAATCTGTGAATACATGGATGGACAAGAAAGTAGGRGGGCAGGGTCTTACAAATTAGTGACCTGAATTCAGGCAATTTTTACCTCCTTTTTCCCTCACAGACCTCTTTACTCTGTTTATTTGATGCTGCTCAGGTTGAGATCCCTGGGAAACACCTTGAAGTGGAGTGTGTGGTGGAAGTTTGCTKGGGAAAGCCTGGGAACACCCGAGAGCAAAGGGGCCACAGGATGGGCAGAGGGAGAAGTTCATAGTGATGTAGCTGCAACAGAGGCCTCYGGCAACCCCTCAAGAAGTGTGGGAAGATTTTTCAACAGTGTTTCCCAGTTCTCACTGCCGGCTCTCTATACCCTTGAATTACACGCTGGGAAGGGTTATAAGCTCTGCTGAGGCACTTCCCTTTTGTCTAGGACCCTCCTGGGAGRGTCGATGTCAGCAGGCAGCACTACAGACAGCTGGGGATCCTGGCAATGCACCCACCACACTGTAAAAACTATTATTAGCTTATGGTTCATACAAAAACAGGTCATGAGCTGGATTTGAATTTGACCCTTAAGAGATGTAGCTTGCTGACCACCTTGTTGTCTCAGTATGTTTATGTGTGAGAAAAAAAAACTTGTATGGTGAAGCCAGGAAAGGTTTTTCCAAGGAAATAACATTTAAAGAGATCTAGATGAGAGCRTAACTGACATAATCATAAGGTGGAAAATATGCAGGGGGGGCAGAGAACAAAGATGGAGGTCCTGAGATGGACATGAGTTTAAAATATAGGCCAATGATCAATTTATTGACTCCTAGCTTCAATCCACCATTCTTTGTTCTGCTTTACTACAGCTGGACCTGTAAACATTTCCCCTTTGTCAGGTGGTACAATGGAAGGTTTTGATAATTAAGGGCATTAGACAAGAGTACAGCTGCCAGCAGCGTCCAGGAAATCCAGTGGCACACACTGATACCTCATCTAGTGGCTTCCTGCTCATCAGTCTTGGACTGCTACATCTCAGTGAATGTCAACCATTCATCCAGTGGGCCATAGCTAGTGCTGTTGGTAAATATTTAACCAACTGCATACCAAAAAATTCTTGATTGTTGCATTTGCTGATTGTTGCATCACAGCTAATTTTAGTGCAGATTTAGGCAGTGATGTGCAAAATTGGCTCTTGCAAGCCTGTACAGACTGGCTCTAGTATGCCTCTGGATTAGTACAACCTATCCAGTGAGGTCTGAATTTAGTTTTGTGAGGYTGGAAGGGGAGCTTCTAAGTTTGCTTCCATTGGCCTTAGAGGTAGTAGCTGTTTCTCATTCCACTATTCCTATATCCTTTAGTAGATCATACCCTTTACTAGTTWATTCTTTATATTAAACTTTCCTTTTTCAAATTACTAGTGTGGATTCTGTCTCCTGCTTGGACGTTTGCAGATGTGACCCTCTCCAAGRAAGTAGACCAGTGTGCCCAGGACACTGAGCAGTTATGCTGTGCTAGCATTAGAACTTTACTGAAGTAGGCATTACTATCCTTATTTTATTGGTGGGCAGCTAAGAGTCTGGTTCAAGATCTGCCAGAGAGAAGCAGCAGCACAATTTGGCTATTACTTATAGCCAAAGGTATCCTATGGCTATGTTAATTTTAATAAAAGGACATGAATTAATAAAATCTTCAGTTGACACTACATGGACAGTTTTTCCTAAATCAAGAAAGACACAGGAAAAACYTTAAGATGCTTATAACTTTTATGAGATCTAGTCTTAAGTAGCTTAGACAAAAGTACAAGTCTGTCTGGAGACTTTATCATCTTCAATACACTGGGAAGGCTCTTTGCTAGCATGAACTCTCTGATGTCTAATAAGCTCTGAACTCCATCTGTAAGCTTTCCCACATCCTTTACATATAAAAGGTTTCTCTCCACTGTGAATTCTCAGGTGCTGACTAAGATATGAGCTTTGACTGAAGGCCTTCCCACACTCATTGCACTCATAGGGCTTCTCTCCTGAATGAATCCTCTGATGTTGAACAAGATGAGCACCCCACCTGAAGGCCTTTCCACATTGACTACATTCATAGGGTTTTTCTCCAGTATGAATTCTCTGATGCTGAATGAGGTTTGAGCTCTGATTGAAAGTTTTCCCACAGTCACTACACTTATAGGGTTTCTCTCCAGAATGAATTCTCTGGTGGATTACAAGATGTGAGTTATAAATGAAGGCTTTCCCACATTCACTACATTCATGGTCTTTCTTCCCTGTGGGAGTTTTCTTATTTGTGACAACCATCTGTCTGAAACTTTTCCCTTGAGCAGGGGACCACTTCCGTCTCTTTGCTTTGGAATTTTTTTGCTGCTGTTCTAAGGTGCCCTCAACTTCAGAGGTAGCTTCAAATGGAGAATTGTCAGTAGTGAGTTTTTCTGAGAACACTTGTGATTCCACTTTGGTAATGGACAGCTGTGGCAGTGATCCTTTGTCCTTGGGTTTTGGGCCATCTTCTGCAACAACTGATGGAAAATGTAAAAATACCTGTTCTGGATATATGGAGAAATGACACTTAGATTAGAACTTATATTTCTGGAAAGAAAATAAAAGGTTAAGAATATTCACTAAATAAAATCTTCAGCTGACACTAAATTAACAGTTTTTCCTAAATYAAGAAAGACACAGGAAAAACACTGGAAGGATATTTACTTAGATATTATCCATGGTTATCTCTTGGTGATGTAATTATGCATAGGAGAGGGTTTCTTTTTGTTTTCTCCCCCACCCACTCCTCACTTATCTGTCCCTCCAGATAATTTTTCATTTTTCCAGAATGAAATATTACAGTCTCATTTGCAAAATAAATTTCACCAGGCACAACGGTACACACCTATAATCCCAGCAGCTCAGGGGGCTGAGGCAAAAATCAAAGCCAGCCTCAGAAATTCAGCAAGACATTAAGCAACTTAGGAAACTCTGTCTCAAAAGACAAAAAAGGTTGGGGATATGGCTCAGTGGTTGAGTGCCCCTGGGTTCAATTTCCGGTACACACAAAAAAAAAAAAAAAAAAAAAAAAAAAAAAAAGAAGAAGAAGCAGGGTCTTTTTAGAATTTAGTCAAAAATAAGAAAAAAAAAAGTATTTTCAAGGAATTGGGGAGTGGTCAACTAATGTTGAGAAGGAAGGGAAAAACAAAGAAGAATCATTAGGATCAGGAGAAAGGGATGTTCCTAAAGACAGATAGACTGCCCTTCTCAGCTCTGTAAACTCATTCATTCTCCTACCCCATAATTCTTCAGCCACTAAGGAGGATCCTCACATAGCTGCATGGATCTCCTTGCAGGGAAGACTCATCAGCTCCCTGCCTCCTACAGCTTGGTGCTCTCTGCCTTTCTCTTTGATCTGCTCCTTAAAAAAGGAAGAAGAGGCCTGGGGTTGTAGCTCAGTGGTAGAGTGTTTCCCTACCATGAGTGAGGCACTGGGTTCAATTCTCAGCACTGCATATAAATAAATAAATTAAATAAAGGTCCATTAACAACTAAAAAAATTAATAAAAAGGAATAAGAGAGTGCTTTGCATTTTTGTTTTTAAATATCTGTATTAGTTATGTTATTTGTCTAACACTCCCTATGGTCTAAGGAATACAAAAAGCAATTGCTTTAAAATCACTAAAGATCATTTGATTTAAAAAATCCATTTTTTTCCAGATTAAATGCAGTGGTTAAAGAAATCTGAAATATGCTTGCTATTATAAAAAAGGCACATGATACCTAGCTTTTTAAAAGTTAAGTATCAAGCTGATACTGTTTAGTAAACAAAACAAAGAAGACAAGAAAGAGTCTGGAAGAAAGACAAGGAGGGAAGGGGAACTGGGAGATAAAACATACTTTAGCAGATTACTTTCCATTTCTTGTTTTTCCCTTTTGTTGTAGTAAAATTCAATTTTTTCACATGCTTGTTTGGTAGTGGGATTGTGGTGCTGAACCAAATATTGAATAGAACCAAATAYTGATTAGCAACAATACATTCACATGATGCTACAGAGGTCAGCAAAGACAGTTTACAGTCCTGAGGCTCTAAGCTTTCTGTCTCCGTGTTTAGTGTTTGCATTAGAGAAAGAGGTGAGGATGTTTGTGGGCATGTATGCAGGCCAAGAAGAAAGTTTTTTCAATTAATCTGAAGGAAGAAGGTARGTAGGTACAGACATAAAAGTTTCAAATAAGGCTTTTAGATGGTAGAGTGTACATGGCACATAAAGGTAATGACAGGCTGTGTCTCACATAAGAATGCTTTATGGCTTAAAAAAATGTGTTGTGGGAGACATGGGGAAACCAAAAGAAAAGGATCTTAAGGCTAGACTCTAGTTCATGGCAGAGCTATTTTGAACTAGGTGTCAAGAGCAGTGGAGATAAGTCAGGCAGTGAGTAAAATATTTTGTGGTCCTGCTTTAGGGATCCTTAAAGCTGAGAAATACTAGCCAGCCTTATAGCCAGATAAAAATATAAATATGATTTAATTCACAGAGTTATCTTATGAGGTAGGTCTTTTTTTGTGTGTGTGTGGTGCTGGGGATGGAACTAAAAAGCTTCTCACATGCTAGGCAAGTGCTCTGCTATACAGCTACACCCCCAGCCCTAAGGTACCTTATTGTAATCCCAATTTTATAAGTGATGAGATAGGCTAAGTCTCTGACCTASGAGGCAAGACTTGTGAGGCCATGATGAGCATAGAAAACACTTGAGGACCTATATGTCCTTTTTTATGTCATTTCCCCTCTTCCCTCCCCACAGAATTCTGCTTCTCACCACTCTCTGGCAAAGGCTGGGTCTCCTGAGATTCACACTTGAGCTGGGTCTCTTTAGGTTGGACCTGGATGCTTGGTTCCTCCTGGGCTGGTCCCAGAGATGCCTTCTTCTCCCACGGGTCTTCCTGTGCAGGTCCATCTGCAGGGCCTGGAACCTGGAGGTGATCAGGCACCACTCGGTTTATGGGGGACCAAAGCTTCCAAAGAGACTTTAGAGAGCCTCCTCAGAGTCAGCACAGGGAAAGGAAGAGGAGCTAGAGTCTCTTTCTCATTCAGAGCTTGAGGGTGGAAAAGACAGAGATAGAAACACATACTAACTGCTCTACCTTGGCAACTCCCCCTATTGCTGCCCCTCTGTCCAGCCTGAAAGTCATTGATCTGGTTCCCACAACAGATCAAATCCCCCTTCCCACCTGCAGTCCTGGTTCAAGTCCTTTCTCTAAATCTTCCAAGACAGTCACAGCCTCCTCTCCACTCTTTGGGTGATGTTCCCGCACCCAGGACCGGAGTTCCTCAGGCAGGATGGTCAGGAATTGTTCCAGTACCAGTAAATCCAGGATCTGCTCCTTGGTGTGTCTCTCTGGCCTTAGCCATTCACAACAGAGTACCCGTAGTYGGCTCAGGGCCTCCCTTGGACCAGGGGTCTCCTGGTAGCAGAGCTGCCTAAAGCGCTGACGGAAGATCTCTTGGCTACTAGAGTGGTTCCCAGGTAGCCTGGTCTCATATTCCCAAGACTGTTCCTCTTCTTTTGGCTTCAAAATAACAATCTTCTCTTGTTCCTGTGTATCCTGAAGGGCCAGAGTTTTAGCTGCTGTTAGTGGTACAGCCATAGTAGCCTGGACTAGCTCTGCAGAAAGCCCACACCAGCTGGAATCTTTCAAGGGCACCCTGTAACATAAGGAATCATTCATTTTTTTCATCCATTAAACACACACTCAACATCTACAAAGAGCCAAGCCCTGTACAATTCTCTTTCCTCTTTCTCCTTCAATCCTTRCTAGGATCCTGCTCCACTAAGTCACTGTCTTTGAGAAAGTTGCAATCTGGTAGAGACAGACATGTAAAATGTTTTTCTACAACTAGATAAATGCCATAACAAAAACTGTTCTGGGACCCACAGAAAGAAATAACTATGGGAAAGAAACCAAGTCTGAAACAAAACCCACATTTCCAGATTCAAAGTCCAGAGCTGAGCAGCTTTCTGTGCATGGTGTAGAAGAGGAAGACCCCTCCCACCTTCCTCAAATTTCTGAGGTAGTACTACAGCAAAAGAAAAATGTAAAGTCCTTYTRAGGGTTAGATCACATATAAACGTYCAGGATTCCTGCAGGATTGTTATGGGACTTTTAGAAAGAACAGACTTAGGGGTATAATGTCCAGCGTCAGGATATCTAACAGGGCAAGAGATAGATGCACCCAGTGGCCACTAAAGCAGCATACACAGTTAATGCTAGCGGAAAAGACAAAGGCGCTCAAACGCACAACCAGTGTTCCAGAGTGATGCCTCAGCGATGCCAACGCCCAGCTGAACTCTGCCTGGCATTGGCAGGTGCACACCCGAAAGCCCTGGGGAGAGGCTGTGGTCTACGCCAGTTATAACAAACCATCTCCACCCTTCAGTTTTCCCKCTGGGATCTCCAGAAAAGAGAAGAGGGACCCCAAGATCGCCCAGCAGGACCCTCCCTGACAAGTGACGCACAGCGAGGGTGGGTGGGGAACCAGACCCCTCYGCACAAAATCCCACGAAGCTGCCTGCGAGGAGGTCTGTTCTCTGTAGGGCTGCCGCTATCTGCGGTGACCAAAAAAGCAACTGGAGTTGGATCTCCAAGTGCCCAAGGCCGAGACTCACCCTACAGAGGCGGGGCGTCCATCAGGCACTGCCGTGCACCGC